AGGAATGTGTCGGAAATGGATGGCACCTTCAGATCATCTGAAAAAGCATCGATGATAAAACTCGTTGTTGAAGGCGTGGAATGCCCAAACTCCATTGACATTGATCGGAATACTTCGCAACTTATAATAGACGGTCAAGCTTCAGTAAACAGCATAGGGAAACCAACAAATGCCAATACTTTAGGAGACCTCGCTGCAATCTTCCTCGACAGGGAAGGTCAACTTGGCAGACCGTATGCCAGAGTCGACATTCTTTTCGACCGGTATCGTCCCAAGTTAATTAAAAGTGGGACCCGCTGCAGACGGACCAGCAGGGTCTGACCAAGTCGCATTTTTTAGCATTGGAATACCGGTAAAAATTGCGACTTAGTCAGACGTATTTGAATTGCACGTTTCAAATAAACCCCCAGGGGAGCTGCTCCGGTCAGAAGGGACGTCACAAGTGCAGCCATTCCACTATCAAAAGATTGGAAGAATTTTCTAGCACTGGGAGAAAACAAGGCCGACCTAGCCTGCTTTCTCAGGAAGTTCTTCAACATGCATTTGAGAAAAAAAAGTTGTTTTTTCCGGAGGACTCAAACATGATGACGATGAGTTTCTACACCATTTTTCATCAAGCCAAGAAGGCTACACCGTTCATTTCGCTTGAACTTAACGGACTGAAAATTAGAACTTTCAAGTTTTAAAACCCCCCCGCTGCCGGTTCCTGAGCCGCCATGAGACAGTTAATTTTTTCATCACCACCTACAATTCCTGTGCTGAGTGATTTGAGCTTTCCAAATATTGGAAAGGGTGGATGTTGATTAGGCCAGGTCAGCATTTTCTGCACATCTTGACTGTCACGGTTGATCCTTGAACTTCCAAGTTCAATATGCTGCTCTCATGATTCGTAGGTAACTTTAACAAATTGCTCGACCGAATCACATACATTTTGCAAGTAAATAGTCCTCAGGGTCCAAGTTGTTAGGATGCTCTGTGACACTTCTCTTCTGGAGTTATGCCACCCACGCTTTTCATGAGAGATTGTTCGATTACTATGTCTAACCAGGTTCCATAGAATTTGTCAGACCGCCTAATTGTAAATTGTCCTTGAGATGTGAAAATTTCATACTCGTCTTCGGGCAGAGACAGACTCAAACCGCGCATTTGTTGTAAGTATAGTTGGCAAGATTTGGTGTAGTCGAAGTGCCCGCTTGTACGGCAACATTCTTTGAATTGTGTCCAAGTGAAGCACCCAATTACCAGTGCGTTCTGCTTCGATGAACTGTGTGACTAGTGAAATCATTCTAAAATACTGAACCCACAGTTTTGCGGTGGGTCAGCGCTGCTTCAATTTCACTAAACATTCTCAAATTTCTGAGAAAATTTTTGAAACATCCCTTCTTTGTCCACCGTTAAAATCACTGCTCTATCTAAATTCCACAAAAAGTTTTCTTCTTCTTCTCTAAGCCCAGTAATCTTTCTCTTTCTATACTGAAAGTTTCAAAATGTTCTCCTCAACAGTTTTTTGGAAAAATATAAGAAGGCAAGAAGTACAGTAGCAATAGTAAAAGACTTTTATGTTTAATTGTCCACTAATTTACAATCTGTGAAAAATACTGTATGTCATAGAGTGATTTGTGTGGTTAAATTTTAGAGAAGAATCAAATTTATGGAAAAACTAAAACAAACATAGAAGAAATCATGAGGAATTCAAGGGAAATTTCAAGGAAATCATGAGAAATCAAGAAGAATCATCCATGATTATTGATTTCTCCTGAAGAAACCGTAATCTGGGGGTCAGTTAAGTTAGCCTCCCCCCATAGAAAATTTCTGTATGAAAATTATTCCATAATTTTGCTCTCATTTTGCTCCACTAATCTCGATTTTTGCTCCATTACAGTGGAGATACTATGTGGCCTATTAGGTGGGGGGGGGCTGAATTAACGCTAGCCCCCCCCAGTGAAAATTCAGAAATTTGATCATGCTCATTTTGTTCTCCGAATTGTGCTCCATTTTGCTCCATTATCGGCGAGTTTTGCTCCATTACCAGAAGAGACCTACAGGGCTCCCAAAAATCTCTCCTAGCCCCCTCCGGTAAAAATTTTGAAATTTGAACATGCTCATTTTGTTCTCCGAGTTTTGCTCCATTTTGCTCCATAATCGGCGAGTTTTGCTCTATTACCAGGAGAGACCTACTGAGCTCCCAAAAATCTCTCCTAGCCCCCCTCGATAAAAATTTTGAAATTTGATCATGCTCATTCTGTTCTCCGAGTTTTGTTCCATTTTGCTCTATAATCGGCAAGTTTTGCTCCATTACCAGGAGAGACTTACAGAGCTTCCAAGAATCTCTCCCAGCCCCCCCGCCCCCCAGTGAAAGTTTTCAAAGTTGATCATGCTCATTCTGTTCTCCGAGTTTTGCTCCATTTTGCTCTATAATCGGCGAGTTTTGCTCTTTTACCAGGAGAGACCTACAGAGCTCCCAAAAATCTCTCCTAGCCCCCCCCCCCCCGGTAAAAATTTTGAAATTTGAACATGCTCAATTTGTTCTCCGAGTTTTACTCCGTTTTGCTCCATAATCGGCGAGTTTTGCTCCATTACCAGGAGAGACCTACAGAGCTCCCAAAAATCTCTCCTAACCCCCCCGTTGAATTTTTTTAAATTTGAACATGTTCAATTTGTTCTCCGAGTTTTGCTTCGTTCTGCTCCATTATCGGCGAGTTTTGCTCCATTATCAGAAATGACCTACAGCAGCTCCAAAGAATCTCTTCTTGTCCCCCAGCGAAAATTTTGGAACTTGAAATTACTCATACAGAGTTTTGCTCCAGTTTGCACTAACAGGGCTTCTTGCGGGCTCTGTTTGTCTATTTGCACCAAAGTTACACCAGTCTGCATCAGGTGCGCCAAAAAGTCAGTTTGTCTCTGTCAGACCCATACAAAAAAAAATATATAGGAATAAACCTTGGATAAACAAACACGTTTGGTGTAGAAAGTGTCGGTTGGTGCCTTGTTGGTGCGAATAAACAAAAAAAGCTAGTGAAACTAGGGACCACCGTTCTCTTCACGACCATTATACTCAATGCGCTTTGCACTGAAACGCTTGAAAATCAGTTACAGGTGCATCAGGAAAAAAAGGCGAGGAAAATAAGCGCAGCTTCATAGCGCTTGAGTGCTCAAAGCGTGGCACCTGAAAGCAGCTCAGCTAATGGAGCAGAACACGCCGATCATGGATCAAAACGGAGCGAAACTCGGAGAACAGAATGAATATGATCAAACTAAATTTTCTTTGGTATGGGAGGGCTAGGAGAGATTCTTAGGAGCTCGTAGGTCATTCCAGGTAATAGAGCAAAACTCGCCAATCATGGAGCAAAACGTAACAAAACTCGGAGAACAAAATGCGCATATAGAAACTCCAAAATTTTCACACGTGTTGCAAGGAGAGATTCCTGGGAGCTGTGTGGTTCATTCGAGAGCCGCTTTCGGGTGCAGTGTGCGAAGCACCTGGAGCATTTCACGCCCATTATACTCAATGCGCTTTGCACTCGAACGCTTGAAAATCAGTTACGGGTGCTTCAGGGGAAACAGGCGAGGAAAGTGAGAGCAGCTTCAATGGAGCAGCTTGAGAGCGCCAAACTCTGTTCGCTCGAATGTGTAAAATTGTAGCCGGAGTACTTCGCACTAACTCGAAAGCGCTGAGCGCTCAAAGCGTGGTATCCGAAAACGGCTCGTGATGGAGCAAAACGAGCTGATCATGGTGCAAAATGGAGCAAGACTCGGAGATCACAATGAGTAATTTCGAGTTTCAAAATTTTGACTGGGGGGGCAAGAAGAGATTCTTTGGAGCTCTGTAGGTCTCTCCCTCAAAACTCGCCGATTATGGAGCAAAATGGAGCAAAACTCGGAGAACAAAATGAGCATGATCAAATTTTGGAATTTTCACTGGGGGGGGGGGGCGGGCTAGCGTTAATTCAGCCCCCCCCCCTTCCTAATAGGCCACATAGTCTCTCCACTGTAATGGAGCAAAAATCGAAATTAGTGGAGCAAAATGGAGCAACATGAGAGCAAAATTATGGGATAATTTTCATCCAGAAATTTTCTATGGGGGGGCTAACTTAACTGACCCGTAATCTGGTGTACAAAAAACAAACCTGCGGTTTACCCCTCGGTGTGTACAGTAATGATCAGAGTAGAGAATGCCGCTCAGTGATAATTTCAGAGTAAATAGTGCCTCAATGCTCTTCACATCAGTAGGTATATTCTTGTTCGAACTACCTATATCTGATTGAACATCAAGTTGGTTTGAGAAGAATTTATGGCACCATATGTGACAACACTAATGAAAATATTGTGAAAACTCCATTCATGCATTGTTATTTTCCATTTAAAATAAATAAATCCGAAATCCAGTTTATCATCATCAAATTCTCCCCATCTATTCATTGTCACAGATTCCATCGTCGCTCTTCCTGCAAGTATAAGCTCCCAAATCCCTTAGCGAAACCACACTTAAAGCTAGTAAAAATGCTTTCCGGAATAATCCGGGATAATTGAGGATATTCCCCGTACGTTACACGGGATAACGGCAACTGGAATGGAAAACGTGCAACTGCATTCGCAAGACGACGCATAATGCCCGAAAGCGATTGTTCCCAGAATCTTTCCTCTCGGTATCATATTTAGGGATTTTATTTTGTGGCAATATTGGATTCTCGTTTCATTTAAAATAGAAAATAATCTAATAAAATTCTCCTCGGCCAAAAGTCATATATCTTCCCAGACACCTAATGTGTTATCCCTAAATTAGTGTTAGAAAAAAAAGGGGTTTAACGACACCATTGTTTGTCCCCTTTTCATTTAATTAAACTGAGTTTATTTCCCAATTATCCGACGTTGAAGTGGAAACCTTTTTTTAGCCCAGAAACGCACGGCACTCGAGAGGAGCGGCGTGACAAAATAAATCAACTTATTTATAACCCGCAACTAACTGGAAATGAAACACCGGGGCTTAAGTGTGCCAGTTCGTATCATACTCTTAGCGCGGTAATAAAATCCTTTAGAAGTTTGTATATTACTTTACTTTTTGGTGCCGCAGATAATTTGTGGATTGGATTTTGTCTCAATTGGTTAGGATTTGTGAATGTTTTAAGAAAAGTTGCAGGTAATACTTTTTATACCAATGCAAAAAAATTTTAGTCTTTTCCATATGTGACCACACATTTGAATTTTACATATGAAAGCTCCAAAGCGAAAATTATCATAAAGTGTCCTTTTATAAAACCTAAAAAGTATAAAATATCTTCTATGTATGCCCTTGGTAAACAGTTGAAGCAAGTTAATAAAACTTTCACAGAGAAATTTGAAAGCTTTTGGATTTTAATAGGTTTTCCGAGCAACTTATGCAGATTTTAATGACTTATTAACATTTGAAACATTTCAAAAAATTAATTTAAAGTTTATTTTTTTCAATTTATTTTTCAGATTGGCTCTAGCATACAAATCACCAACAACAATTCGGATCAGTCTCTTAGGTGAGTAAGATTTAGGTTTTTCAGGAATCATGCTACGATGCTAATGCGTAAACTGGGACTCAATAAAGCTTAATTTCGACTTCAAAAGGACTGATTTTTAATGAATCAGTTTTCTGGCTTTAAATTTTACATCCCCCTGGCTTAAGGTTTCCTTTTCCTGTGCAAGACCCTTTTAGCTTTGACCTAAATTACAGGAATAGAGGTCGTATCCGGATAGTCGATTTTGAAACTCGAGTAACTTTGAAACGAATTTTTGAAAATGAGATTTTTAACGACAGTTTTTTACTAGTATAGTGGCTACTACTTTTGAGTTTTTTTTTTAGAAAGCAGCACAGAATTATAGCACTGCCCTTTATCTCAATCTTGCCATAAGCTTAACTTCTAAGGCTCTCAACTTTTCTAACTTTGACTTTTTCTCATAAGTTATCGTGTTTCCTTCAGCAATTTCTATTTTCTGTTTCATAGCGTGATCTGTCCATGGAATTTTGGCAAACAACTTCAACTTTAACTAGTTTTTTCAAGTTTGGGATTTATCTATAATAGAAAAAAAGTTATGTCCTTCCTATCTCAGTACTAAAACCATGCAATTTCAAAAAAAATTTTGTTGATAATTTCTATCCTAATGGTCCTTAGGGATCCCTCAAACTCCATACACTTAATTATTTTCAGATTTGGAGCGGTATTCTATGAAAAAAGGCACTCAGAAAAATTGAGAAATTGATTAATCACTCCAAATTGCTTAACACTATTTTATTTCTCGAACTATAAGCCCAAATGAGCTGAAATTTTTAGGGATTGTAGTCCTCTACTGGAATAAGAATCGCTGGAAATTTCATCTTTTTATCTATAATACGAAAAAAATTATGACCTTTCAAAGTTTTCTAAAATCTAAATCATAAGGTAGCCACCCCAGTACTAAAGGGATGAAATTTCCAACAAAAAAAATCCTAGATTTTGTATCCTAATGGTTTTTTGGGATCCCCCAAACTCCATACACTAAATTATTCCGAGATTTGGAGCGGTATTCTATGAAAAAAGGCACTCAGAAAAATTGATAAACCACTCCAAATTGCTTAACACTATTTTATTTCTCGAACTATAAGCCCAAGTGAGCTGAAATTTTTAGGGATTGTAGTCCTCTACTGGAATAAGAATCGCTGGAAATTTCAGCTTTCTATATCTATAATAGGAAAAAAGTTATGACCTTTCAAAGTTTCTCAAAATCTAAATTAGAAGGTAGCAACCTCAGTACTTAAACGATGAAATTTCAAAGCTTTATTTGATGAGAATTTGTATCCTAATGGTCCTTAGGTATTCCTTAATTTCCATACACTAAATTATTCTGAGATTTGGAGCCGTATCAGTAAAGGAGCTAGGACAGTTCAACAGCAAACCCCATGTAAATCTCCATAAGAAAACGCTAAGGTCCAAATTGCGGCTTTTTCGACCATTTCCAGGTAGCCCCAACCACTATCCCGCTATCTCCAAAACATCTCAACAACATCTCAAAGACAACTCCAAGACATCTCAACAACACCTCAAAGAGACATCTCAACAACACCTCAAAGACAACTCAAAGACATCTCAAAGACAACTTCAAGACATCTCAACAACAACAACAACAACAACAACAACAACAACAACAACAACAACAACAACAACAACAACAACAATGGTTGGTGTAGGTGAGCATGTTAAAGAAATTTTGAAGCTTAGCGAGAAAATTAGTGGTGTTGTTGTTGTTGAGATGTCTTGAAGTTGTCTTTGAAATGTATTGGAGTTGTCTTTGAAGTCATATTGCGATGTCTTTGAGGTATTGTTGAGATGTCTTGGAGATGTTGTTGTTGTCTTGGAGATGTTGTTGAGATGTCTTGGAGTTGTCTTTGAGGTGTTGTTGAGATGTCTTGGGGTTGAATTTGAGGTGTTGTTGAGATGTCTTGGAGATAGCGGGATAGTGGTTGTGGCTACCCGGAAATGGCCGAAAAAGCCGCAATTTGGACCTTAGCGTTTTCTTATGGAGATTTACATGGGGTCTGGTGTTGAACTGTCCTAGCTCGTTTACTCGTATCCTATGAAAAGAGGCACTCAGAAAAAATTAAAAATTGATAAATCACCCCAAATTGCTTAATACGATTTTATTTCTAGAACTATAAGTCCAAATGAGCTGAAAATTTTCAGGGATAGTAGTGCTCTACTGAAATGAGAATCGCTGAAAATTTCAGCTTTCTATCTACAGATTGAGCTCATTCGCATCTCCCTTAAAATATGTAAATAATAGTTGCATATTTCCAGAAATTACCATATAGGCTGTCCTTACTTGCCTTAGAATATTAAATAGAATATCTTCTTCCTTGATGTCAGTGTCGACCAGTAAAAGAAATGTTGTGAAAAAGGATAGTTTGGCTCTTCGTTGGGTTAATCTTGATCTTCCAGTTGATGCATCAAAATCAAATTTTTTGTTTATGTTTCCCAGCTTTTTACTCTGGATTGCGTATTCATCTGTGTGCACAGTGCAATTTTAGTGTTCGAAATATCGTGTCGATGTTGTACAAGTTTGGAAATCCAGCTTTCAGTTAGAGATTCAGCTTTGAGGCAAAAGACTGATACAGTTTGGTGAGGGCGCTACCGAGTTTTAACACGTTAATCCCAAAAGAATTGATTTGCTTTTCATACAGAACAAGATGTTAAAATTGAGCTCAGTTTGTTCGTCTTGTTCGAAATAAGGATGGAAATTGTACTGTGAAACTGATGAAAATCTCATTCCCGGTTCTACTAGGCATACAAATTTTATTCCCGGCGGTCCTGATACCAAAAATTGGAATAGATGGATGTGAAACTTTAACTTTTAACCAAGAATGACATAAAACTTTTATTCCCGGCGCTCTTAGTGCCAAAAATTGCAAACCAGAATACCTAAAGCTCCCATTTTGACTCTCACAGAACTAAAATTCAATTGGGAAGTTGTGAAAATCTTAATCTCAGCTCTATTTAGAGCTAAAGTTTGAACTAGAATTTCGAAATTGAACCAGAGTTTGAAACCTTTGATCATTCAAGGGGTAAAACGGTTTAAAAGGCTCATTTTGGACCCTCAAAGAGCTGAAATTCAGCTGAAAAATTGTGGAAATATCATTCCTGGCACTACAAGAGCTGACATTTGAACTGAGAAGCATAACAATTCTATTCCTGGCGCTCCTATCGCAAAAATTAACCCTGAGAAGTTGGAAAATTAGATCATCCAATGGATTCATAAGGCTCTCAAAGAGCCAAAATGCAATTGGAACATTATCAAAATTCCAATCCTGACTCTACTGGAGTTGAAATTTGAACTAAAGAAAGCTTACTAATTTTAGTCCCAGCCCTTCTGATGCTAAATTTGAGTTAGAAAATCAATTACATGTCAATATATAGATAAAACGATTCAAAAAGCTCATGTTTCACACTCTCTCAGAGACAAAATTCAATTGGGAAATTGCAAAATACTCATTTTCAGATCAAATTTGGATATTCCAGAAGCTAATTACGATATTTTAAATGTAAATTTGAATATTATAATTTGTCTGATTTTCAGCTAATCTAGACACTGGCTTCTGATTTCAGACACCTTTTGGGTGAACCGAGGCCGAAGGCGAGTACAGCCGAAGATGCAGGAATTTTCCCACAGAGATAATGATCCACTATGATGATCCTGCAGTGAAATGGGTACAAGTTAACTGATCCCATTGAAGCCTATATGTCTAGTACCCGGCCTTGTTTGTATAGAGCTGATTCGTTTTACGTCATCTGTTACCCTTCATATATCGTAGTTGTCTCTGTCATCTGTCATCCAACTGTCAAACCCTCACTCGTAACTTATAACCTTGTAGCATTTTCAGTAATGCTTCTTGATTCGAGTGGGTTTGTTTTTGATGGATTGTGAACCAACTTTCTATCTAAACAGATCTTTTCACGTTTCAAATTGTTTTTTGATTGAACAATGCAGAGTGGAGCAATCGTTGTTCTTAGACGAACAAGATTTTTCTGGGATAAATATCTTTTTTTGACAAAATTGCGAATTTGAGTGGATGCGATTATGTGTAATAATGGGGGCACCTGAGCCTGGGAAATTTTTCGATACCGTAAGAAATGTCTAGATCGGCAGCGCCATTCCGGGGGTTTGACCCGGGCCGACCCTAAATTTTTCGACGTCATGATGTTGTCGGTGGCGCCATCTAGCGTACATAGTGTGAAGTTCGTTGTGTCGTATTACAGGATGCCGTAGTGATAAATAAAAAAAATTCGTGAATCATCTCGCCGCCGACATTTGATGTGGAAACAAGTAGGAGTATCATGTTTCACGGTTATTTTTACTTATAACTGATAAGCGTTTCCGTTCTAGCAAAAACAACAAGCTCAGACTTTTTATTTTGTCGATGTCGATGTTGATGTCTGGAGGATTTCAGCTAAACTATGCTTTGCAAATTTACCAACCATTATTCAAAATGTTCGTTTCTAGAATTTGATACCTACTAAAACTTGAAACAAGCCAAAAATTACAATCCAATTGGGAATAATCACAAATGGTAGGACAATCTCCCCTAGTAACCCACATCGGTACGTCAACCCGCCAATTCGTGCCGCCCCCCTAAACGGCGGCAGAAAGTGTTTCGGACTTTGAGTTACGACTGGAGCGCGGCGCTAAATTTTCCTCGTCCGGTGGGAATGCCCACCCGATCCGCCAACCCCTCAACTATAGGACACAACACCGCGCCGGGTAATTTACGAGGAACGGTCTGGAAGAGATGGGATAATGTCGGATTCTGGATTTTGTACCTATACACCTGCTTCGGACTCGCTGATATATATTTTGTCTGAAAATGATCGCTTTATTATCCCGTAAAATTCAAGATTAAGATACAAAACATCGCGGTTGGGTGCCTTTCGAATGGACAAATTGGCACCGATTTATCTTTTGCCTAATAAAAATTACCTTCGAATTAGGCTCTATTAACGCGCTGAAATAT